GTGAGCCTGGGAGGGCCCTGGGGCTGTTAGGGGTGGGATAGAGAGGAAAGGGCTGAGGGGTCATAGGGTGACCCCTGAAGGCCACCCTTCTAAGGGACCACAGACTTGTTCAGACAGGCTGCCCAAACAGCACCCCACAGACTCCCCTGTGAAATGAGAAGCAGGGCAGGGCTGAGTAAAGACCCTTGGAATTCTCTCTCACACAATTTTGCTTTGTAGCTTGGGCTGGGTTCAAACTGGCAATCCTCCTGCCTCAGCCTGGGCTTAGAGGCAACTGTCACTATACCCCCGGTTTGTGACTGTACTTGTATCTTTCCTTATTTGTTTTTATGCTTCCGGACCCTATTACCATCCCAGAAGACAATGTACCCTCCATGCTCAGATGGCTCCTGACAGCCAGACGCCTCACCAGGCCTCCACGGCCCAAGGGACTGACCCCCACCAACTTCCCCCGCCTACACCACATGGCTCTGGCTCTGGCTCTGGCTCTTGCCTTGTCTTACTATGTATCCCTGTACACTGCAGACCTCCAACTCAGAGATCTGCTGCCTCTGCCTCCCGTGTGCTCTCTGAAACATCTGTTTCCCTCTAGCTCGTGAGATGGTCTCACACAGCCTGTGCTGGCCCCCAACTCGGTATGGAGCTGGGATGGACCTTGAGTTACTGATCTTCCTGCCGGGGCTGCTCTCAGCTTCATTGCTGAAGTTTTTCACCTTCTGAGGTTCTCATGTTGTAGCTAAGCTGCATTGATAAGTGTTGTTTGGACAACACACCAGACCGGAACACACTGAGACTCAGCCAAGCCATGTGGGATTGCCAAATAGTCAACCGTTTTTTGGCCTACAAAAAAAGTTCTATATGGTTCATTGTGATGTTAGCAATACAAAAAGGCATGATGGACATGACGGTGACCTTCTGTAATCCCAGCCAAGAATTCAAGGCCAGTGTGAACTACACATAAGTTCCAAGCCAGCTTAGCAAGAACCTGCTTCAAAAAAAAAAAAAAAAACAAAAGTAAAACCAATGAAGTGTGAATATCTCCTCTAATCTGTGTTAAGCCTTCTGATTTTGGAGCTTCCTGTCATAATAGCAGGGTGTACAGCAGGCCTGTCACACCTGACAGACACTTTTGACAGGCCTGTGTGAAGGACCTCCCATGGAGTCACGAGCTCATTTCATCTGCACAATACCTGTGAGTGAGGGGGTCTGATTATTATCCCTGGTTCCCAGGTAAACAAGGCCCAGAGAGGCCAAAATCACCCAGCTGGTAAGTGGACACGATGGGACTTGAACCGGGCTACCATCAATCCTTACCTCCCGATACAGATTCCTTGGGACTAGAATTCTTGTTGGCGTTGGGATTGAAGGTCACAGAGCAGGGAGAGAGGCCATCCAAGTTGATGGGGAAGGAGGAGCTGCTGGCATCACTGGGACTGAGTGAGGATGAGGAGAGGGAGGCCTTGCTGCAGGGAGAAGGCACCAGTGAGGAGAGCAGTGGCCCG